ACAATGGCACTTGTTTCACTCTCTCTTGGATTTCAGTCCCTTCTGCCACTTCCCACAAGCAAATTGGGCCCTTCTGGTGCTGGTTCCTGGGTGGGTGGGCTTGTGTATGTTCTAGGACACCATGGGTCTCTCCAGCAAACTCTCCTGTGAGGCTGGGAGTCTCTTCCAGCACCTTTTCAATCAGTGCTTTTAGGCTTTATTTCCTGTCGCTGGAGCCCTGAGTTGCGAGGTCTGTCTCACTGCCTGTTTTTGCCTAGTTTATCTCTGTGTGAACATGTGACCATGGTCAGCCTGTGCCACCTGCACTCCTGCATGTGGCTGCCATCGCCTTTTCCTGCCATGATCCCTCTCTGCCAGCCACCAACTCCACCCGTCTTACCGGTCTGGATGAATGGTTGTCGGACTTTGGTACAGTTCAATTTTCTGTTTGTTCTGGTTGTGTTTTTGTTTCTAAAACTTTGTAGTCCTTAATTTTGGTTGTGTGAGGAGGCACAGTATTTCCACCTATGCCTCCATCTTGGCCGGAAGCCTCTGTCTCCTTTTTTTTGAATAACACATTTTTCTCGCTGGTCACTGTTGACATCACTTAAGCCCTGGCACACAGGGGAGAAGTCACCTGGAACATCTGCTCTTGTCTTCTGTGAAATGATTTGGTACACAAGCTCCTGAACATCCCGTGATGGACAGACCACAGTGGGGAATCCACTGTTGGTGTCGTTATGGACTAGCTAGAGATGACAGCCGCTGGGGCCTTCTAGCAGGAAGGTCACCTACTGTAGGTCACCTACGTCTAGGAAAGGTGACGAGCTGTCCACATCATGGCCTTGCACTGATAATGTAAATAATCTTAGAAGACATTATGTTTGAACTTTTCTTGTTAGAGGAAAGACATTCTGGTTATAGTCAACAAGTCTTTAAAGTTATTTTTTCTTTCTTTTCTTTCTTTTTGGTGACAAAGCACAGGCAGGCAATAAATCTGAATGTAAAATCTCAGCATTCAGAAGCACAAAGAAAAATCATCCTTTCAGACCACACCATTACAGCATGAGGTTGCTTGCGGATAAAAGAAAATAACCTTAACATTCAATTAGTTAATATGCAGAGTTAAAACATGGAATTGATTTTATAAGTGGGATGCCTGCAAGCTGTGAAAATAGTGCAAGACAGTAGATAGGGAAGTTAAATGAAATGACTCCTTGATTATCTGGAAACAAATATTGGGGTACCTTATTCCCAGAGAAAATGATCTGCCATTAGAGGTTAATTTGAGAAAAGGTAGCTTAAATGAGGTCACTAAACATCACTAAGAAAGAGAAAATATAAAAGGACATGATTATTTCTCTAAACATTCTTCTCAGAAATATTCAGACTAAAAGGCATTATCATTTTTCCATTTGTCTTATGAAATGCCTTAGCTGAGATCTGAATTATAGTAAAAATAACTTTGCAGTTGGTTTGGAAAACAGAAATAGGTCATCTTTTCTGACCTTCAGAATATATTGAAGTTTCTAATATTAGTATAACAAAGCATTCAAAAGAAAACTCAAATCTATCTTAATAGAATAGATCTATTCTAGTTCTTAATAGAATAGAATAGTGAAGGCCCCCTAAGTCCTTCACTATCTACATACATATTTCTGATATTCATGGCACTTGTAAATACTGAAGAAAATCGAACCTTAATTCTGTCAGTACTTTCATATTTTTCTACTACTTGGATACAATTATTCAAGAAAATTGCTTGGAGGTAAAGGCTAATTGAACAACTTTTGATAGTGAAATTCTAAACTCTTTGATAAGCAAACTCTTATTGTGGGCAATAACCCAGCAGTAATATGTGGTCACCAGCTACATGTAAAACAGGCAATGGCTTGGAAGTCCTTCAAGCACTTGGTCAAGTGAGAGCCAGCCCTCGAGGCATGAAAATGGCTGAGTGAAAGGGTGAGCAAATGTGAGCGGGTGACTAGAGGGCTTGGCTTCAGGTATATCAGCCTAATCTGGTAAAAGGCTCTCTCCTATTCATTGCTAGTGTATTTATGGAGAAGCACATGGCCCAGGAATCAAGGGCAACAACTCAGAGGTTGAGTGCTGGGTCTGACATTAACTAGCTGTGTGACCTTAGGTAAATTACTTAACCACTCTGTGCCTTACCTCAGTATTCTCATCGTAAAATAGGGAAACATAATACCCATTCACAGAGTTGACACAAGGATTAATATAGTTAATATTTTTAAAGTACCTAACACAGATCTTGGCGTACAGTAAGCACCATGAAATTGTCCATTAAATAGAATGAACTACTGACCAAACACATTTGAAACACTGTGCCTTAAAATATCCCATTTTGTTTAGAATGTGTATGCCTCATTCAAAAGGCTCACACGAGAAACCCCCCAAACATGCAGCTTGCAAGCACTTATTTCATACTTCAAGACTAAAATGTGCTCTGTCTCTCTGAACACAGTCAGCTCCTCATGCGCACATGCTTATGAAATACAGCTATTCAGATGCACTTTGTGTTTTCAGTGTTTGATGTTTTTGTTTGTTTGAAACAATATCTAAACACACATCTTTCATTTGAGAATCAGGGTGGACTTTGAAATTTCAGTTATATTAAAATTCTGTCCTTTGAATTTAAGACCTAAAAGTGGGGTTGTGGCTGTTAGACTGGTTCTTTCAGGCATAACCGTGTCAACTATAAAGAACCATGTCAGCAAGTGGCAGCTTTAATTACCAGTTTGTTCCACCACTACCACTTAGCTTGGCAGTTTTCCTATTTATAAAAATAAAAGTTTTAGATGTGGTGTGATAGGGTTCCCCGGGGCAATAGGAAAGTACAGGGGGAGGAGAGGGAGGGACCAGCAGGGTCACGCCACAGCTGTCTTCTGTGGGATTGTAAATCAAGGCATGATTCCTGCACGTGAGAACACCCCAGCAGAAGGGCTAGGGCAGCTGGGCGCAGCTGGGATGGATGGAGCAGCTGCGGAAGAGCCTCTAAGAAGGTAGAAAAGTGTATGAATGCAAGACCTTTTTTGTCTCTTATTTGTGTATTTCAACCTATAGGGTCAAATACCCAGATAACTATAGCAATTTAAAAGTATGACAAAAATGCAATGTAAAACCTCTACTTCAAACATCATAAACTGTAGAACAAGTAGTGGAGCCTTTTTTCTTTTCTTTTCTTTTCTTTTTTTTTAGCTTGAGGAGACCAAACGCTTGCCTGTAATAGCAGGGTCTCAGTCCTTGCTGGCCATGATTATAGCCCCCATGCCTGACACCACTGGTTGAATCAATTCACTGATTAGATGAATTTCTTTATTATATTCCCCTATGAATGACATTGCTGGAATCCACATGGCTCTAAAGGTCAAGGTGCCATTTAAAAATGGTGTTTCTTTTTAAGTGATTTTAAAGATTTAATATTTTTTTAAATAAGAAAATTTTTAATTTTAAGGAGAATTTTTACAATGTATCAAGCCAACAGCTGTGGTCAGGATTCTCTCACCTTGAATTTCAACCCTATAAAGTCAGAGAGTTCCCTTTCACAAAAGGGGGAAACAACATGATGCCATTTTTAAAAGCAAATGCTTTGCATTGGTACATTTTTTTGAGAATCTGTCAATTTACTTTTTTAGTTAAATTTATGGGGGTGACATTGGTAAATAAAATTACATAGGTCTCAGGTGTACATTCTACAACACATCATCTGTATATTGTTGTATGTTCCCCACCCCAAGTCAGGTCTCCTGCCATCACCATTTACCCCCCATTTACCCTCTCCTACCTCCCCCACCCCCTTTCACTCTGGTAATCACCACACTGTTATCTGTGTCTATGAGTTTGTTTTTTATTTCTTAATTCCTTCACCTTTTCGCCCAGCCCGGCAACCCCCCTCCCCTCTGACAGCTGTCAGTCTGTTGTCCGTATCCATGAGTCTGTTTCTATTTTGTTAGTTTATTTTGTTCATGAGATTATATAACAAACCCAATTTCACTGAACAAGAGAAAGAATTAAAATGAGACTGACATTCATATTAGGAGTGTTTCTGTTTGATCCAGCAACTTCCTATTCTCCCTTTTTATTCCCCACCCCACCCCACCCCCACTCCATCCCTCCTTCCTTCCTACTTTATCAGCAATATAACTGCAAACATAATCAAGTCCCTGCCCTCATGGATCAGCTATCTTAGTGGGAAGAGAAAGACAATAAACATACAAACATTTTTTTAAAGGTTGCTTCTGTTTTTAAATATTTTACGTCCTTATTTTTAAAGAGAGGAAGGGAAAAAGAGGGAGAGAAACATTAATGTATGGCTTCCTGTCATGTGCCCCCTAATGGGGACCTGGCCTGCAACCCAGCCATGCGTCTGACTGGGAATTGAACCTGTGACCCTTTGGTTCACAGGCTGGCACTCAATCCACTGAGCCACATGAGCCAGGGCCAAACAGTTAGTTACATGACGTGATTTTAATTAGTGACACATGGAAAATAAGATGAATACTGGGATAGAAAGTGACTGGGTGGTGGGGGTAGGGATGGGGAGCACGTATGATTAAAGAGATCAAGGGAGATTAAGATCTGTACAAGGAGAAGGGAACCACCATGTAAGAATCTGGAAGAATGAACATTATAGACAGTGGGAGCTTGTACAAAGAAACCGGTAAGCTCTGATTTCTCTCCTTCAGATTTTAACTTCCAGATTAAATTCTTTTTCTCTGCAAATGCAGCTCCAATTTCCTAACAATGCAGGATATAACAGCTTTCTTTCAAATCCATTGTCCAGCACAGGGCCTGGCATAGAGTAGGGGTTTAATGAAAGAGCAATGGCTATGTGTGATCTTTGTCAACTTCTAAGCTACCTATGAACTGGGATACACATAGAAGCATCTAGAAATCACAGAACAGAGCCACCAGCAACAAAATGGGAGGTTTGTATTAATGCCACATAGATACTCCTTCACTTTTCACATAACCTTGGCCTTGCCAACTTGGCAACTTACCATGCCCAGTGTACTCAAAAGAATCTGCTTCATCAGGGGTATCAAGTTCATCCACATTGATGTCAATTTCATCAGGACTGTCCAGGTTATCATCAGAGAGGACAGACCCTTCGCTTTGGTCCAGAGAAAGACTGATATTTGGGGCGGTGAGTTTGATCCTCTGAGGATGAGCGCCATTAAGATCCAGGGAATTAGGAGGTTCTAAAGAAGAGACAGAAATGACATCGAGCATTAGATCATGAACGTGGCTACCAAGAGCGGGTGTGGGCCCCCGTGGAAAAAACTTTCAAAGCCTTTTCAGCAAAGGCAGACCTGCTAAAAAGTCGGTTCTATGGGACTTGGACCCCGTCCTTGACCAGCAGGTCTCAGCCCCATCAGCCCTGGCCATGTACAAATAGGAAGTGGGACCCATTGCTAAACGGGCAGAAAACTAGTTGTTAGAATGTCCTGTTCCGGTTTGAGAACTTGAAACTGAGGTAACATTGAGTTGAACTCTTATGGTGCATACTGTGTAATAGAAACAGTAAAGCTTACGTATACCTGATAATGTTTCACGCAGACCTTACTCCTATGGAATGGAGGGTAAGAACTTTATGTGACGTTCACAGATATTCCCAAAATACTTTTCTTCAGTGTCTGACAACTCTGTCTGATGTGCAGTGGCCTTTCTTTGCCTGGTGTTCTATATTTATTTTTAATAAAACTGAGGTATCCTCCCAGGTCACATTTTTTTTTGGATCAGGCAGTCATGACCTCTTATGCAACACTGTTTGCCACTGGTCCCCACGCCATGAGTGAGTCTTATGTTAAGGCTCATGGAAGTAGCTCCTGTACTTCAATATGGGTCTTCCACTAATGTATCATTCCCTTAACATAAGAGCTGGAGAAGTAATTTTTAATCAAGTTGACCCCAACTGAACACTTCTAAAAATAGAAATTTCAGGATTCTGTAACACAGAGTATTTTGAAGGCTGTCTGGTAGACCTCTCAATTCTGGAATTCAAATCCGGTCTCGTCCTAAGGAAGTCGACACTGTTTCTTTGCCATTTAGATGTTCTGTAGAGACCATCACCCTGACTGTGTCCTCATGTAACATGTTTCCATGTAGTACTTGGAAACAGTTTCTAGTGACCAGTAAGTTTGCAAAACAATGGACTTCTAGATCACCGGGATTCTCAGAGAAGTACTATCCAGAAAATAAGTTTTGTGATGATAGACATGTTAAGGAATTGAAATAAAGCGAGCGCCACTAAAGAATTTAACTTTTCAAATTTATTTTAAATTTTAATTAATTTGAGCAGCCACATGTGGCTAATTACTACCAAAAAGATAACTATAGCTTCAGTGCCTTTATTATTCTAAAGCGCATGATGAACCTTGAAGAGTGGGGTAGAAATACTTACAGTGACTATCATTCTTACTTGGCCATAGAACATTTAAAAATAATTGTCACCTGACTATTATTTTGAAGAATGCACTTAAATACTTAGGCAAAAAAATAAAGTTGACTCCCATTTTAGGCTTGGCTGATAAGGTTGGGATTCAGGATATTACGACCCTGAAGCAAGACAGTGCAAAGAAGTGTCCTAGTACAGAGTCGACGAAATACAGATTGCAAAAGAGAATTTAAAATTGTTTTTGGAATACGCCTTGGGCTGTAAACCTTTATAGTATAAGGGCTTTCTTCTTTCTTTCTTTCTTTCTTTCTTTCTTTCTTTCTTTCTTTCTTTCTTTCTTTCTTTCTTATCAGGCTACTGAGCCTTCTTGATATCACATTTCTGATCTTAAACATTCTCACACTTCAGTATAAATTGGGTGAACTTTGATGTTAGTTAGAATTTGGTATTGTGATAAACAGTAGCCAATTATCACAGGAGCTGAAAACATTGGCAGATAAGGCCTTGGCCCAGGATATAAAAGGCAGCCCACACTAGTGAGCATCAATATTCACGTTGACTCTGAAATTAACCAAATTGAGCCTAACGCCTCCTTCACACATATCTTTCCCTCTCTTCACAAGTTGGATGCAGAGGAAATGGTTCTCTCACTGAATAATGAAACTGTCTGGGTACAGAACACGCTTAAGGGAATGAACAAGCGCTCCGCTCACCCGGCCTCATGTCTGCAGCGCCGGGACTCAGCATTCCCTCCTCGAAGGGGCTGTCCATTCCCACATCCTCTGACAGTGGTCTGGAAGAGAGCAAAGCAAATCAAATCATGCACAGAGCTGTGTGGGGTTTCATTTTCTTTGAAAAGGAAACTCGGAGATTCCAGGATAACATTTTCTCACTTGGAAAAAACCAAGTACGTGTACTGAATCCACTGTACGTGGCTGCAAGTTAGACTAGAGACTTCCTCAGTGACTGTGAGTGAAAAGCATGGGCCCTGGTGTTGCTCTGTGTGTGCAGCAAATCACTTCTCCTGCCAGCTCACAAGAGCAAACACGCCCCAAGTAAAAAAAACTCAGAAACAGGAAAAGCAAACAGTAAGAAAATATATTTAAGGGCATACACACACATATATATTTAGCAAGAAAGCAATATATGTGCTTTGGAGTAAAGACAGGCTTAACTTTGCATATAGCTCTTCCTCCGTGTAAATTTGAGCGCATTCCAGAAATGGCTGTGGGCAGATAAAAGTATACTCTTGCTGGCCTTACCTCCTTTAATTTGTAAAATAGGGATATAGCACCTACCTCATTGAGCTTTTGAAAGATTAAGCAATGACTGTAAAATGCCTAATATTCTTGAGAAGGTACCCACTAATGTATTTTCCTTAATTGTTTATTTAAAAACTCATTGTGAATTACATATTGGTGACGATGGTTCTAGTCATGAGTTACCATCTCTTCCTTCTAACCAATGCCAAGCCCAGGGCCCTTTATATTACCCTATATGATAAGTATAGAGGAATAGAAAAATACTGAGGAAAATGGTGACAAATGTATACACTATGGTAGGAAACTGACCACTGGTCACAGTCAATTCCCCTGGACTTATTTTCATCTCTCATCCCTCATTCAGTAAATCCCGATTTACCATAATAATATATTTTTCTTCTTGCTGGCTTATACATAATTCCACTCATGTAGGGTGAATCCTTGTGATATAGGCACTAATCTTAATTTAAACATGATAAACCTTGGTGTTAAAGTTCTAAATTTAGTCCCTCCCTTTCTTAATGTGACTTCTCCCCACTTCAATCTGAGTCTACAAAACACTGGGGGTTTGCTTACATAGATGATCAAAGTCTCCAGAATCCAAGTGAAAACCCTTACTGCCCACAACACTATGGGGAAAACAAAATTCTACATTTCTAGTGATAACTGTATTTCTTCATTTATTCAACAAGTATGTATTGTCTACTATGAGCTGAGAACAAGAGACCAGTCTCATTCTTGTGCTGGAGAGGGAACAAGGGGTTAAAATAATGATGACTATCACCTATGACTCAATGTGGGCTCCCCTGAGCCCCGTAAATGCCTTTGTCCTTACCCATCAACTCCATAAACCCCTCCAAAAACACAGCCTCAGGGAGTTTCTTTCTCTGCACATGTGCTGTGGTTTCTACTCTGTATGTTCTCTAAAATGAATCCAGCACTCTCAGGGAAAAACAGTGAGCAAGAGGAGGTTGGTGTGTGAGTCAAAGGCAATAATGTATTGGCGGGAACAAGATAACCTGTGCCAAACACATACACTTCACACGGTGGCAGCAAACCAAATCGTCCATTGGTAAAGGTAGGACTGGTGAGCCAAGAAAAAAAGGCCTGAAAGTCCTGGGGCCCAGGGGGAATGGATGTCCAGGTTGCCCACGCTGCTGCAGTTTTTCAGGATTCGTTACAATGAGCCCTGTCATCTGACATTTTCTGTGTGTGTTCTGACCCTGCAGTACCTGTAAAGGGGCAAAATGCTGCTGTTAAGAGCAATTGGATTCAAGTCTTAGTTCTGTCCCTTGTCAAATGGCAAGTTACTCAGTTTCCTCACCAAGAAAAGGAGGAAGAATGTGCAGTGCCTGCAGATGACACCGAAGAAGAAAAATGTCTGTTACTGTAGGAGTTCCTTTTGCCGTCTACTATCACTGCCTTCTCCATTAGCCTTGAAAGTTCATTAGGACAAGCACTGCGTCTATTTTCTTTACCTTTATGTCTCCAGCACCCGCTAGCAGATCCCTCGATACATATGTGTTGAACTGAATTATCCAGGTTTAAATATCTGAAATGCATATATACATTATTTTCTCTAGTTCTCTGCATACAAATCAACCTAAAAAAATCATTTCACTACCTACCTGACAGAGCACATAAGGGTACTGGCCTTAACTCCAAAATAAATATAAAGGGTTTTAAAATAGATGGTGTCAGTCTTAAATTTTTGTAGGGTTTGTTAATATTTGTAAGTTATGGGCACCATCATGGAATAATTGAGAGTCCTAGATATGAGGTTATAGTGCTGGGTTATAGTTCTGCTGTTAGTATTGACAAGCTGATTAACCCTGAGAAAATTAGCTGGCTATCTTTATGATTTTAAATTGAAATAATAAATTCCTAATGTCACAGTGACTAGAAAATGCATATAAAAGTACTCTGTAAATTATAAGCCATTTGGCAAGTTTGAGGTATTACCTTCCCTCATTTTTAACATAATAGCAGGATTAGTGATTTAATTGAAATATAGGTGTCATGACTGGACAAAACATAACTAAGGTTCCTATCATTTGGGTCGTAACCCAGGCAAGGGAAAATTTCAGTACCCATACAAATCTCCGCAGAGCCTGTGAATGCTACCTTAGTGAATAGGGCCTTTGTCTGTCAGTGCTCCTTTGCAACACAGAGCAGGGAGCCTGTCAAGAAGGGCTAGAACTCCAGAGGAGGTGTGAGCTGGGGGAAGGTAAAAAAGCCCAAGGCTGTGAGCAGGGGGGATCAAAGGAGAGGCACTGTCTCTCTTTTGTTACGTAACAAATCAGTCCAGCGTGAAGGGACAGATTTCCCTATCAATCCATAGCACCTGCTTAATTTGGGGTTTTCTGTGTACAAAATGGAGCTACCAAAGAGGCTGAGGGAGTTGTAAACACCAGTCTGACTCTACTATGGCTGACCTCCCAAACAGATGCTCAGCTCCACGTCTCCATCTAGAGGACAGAGCCAGAACTGCTTGTAATTGTTAAAAATCAAGTATTTCATCAACTGTTTCTGGGTTTGGGGTATATGGTAAGATTGTACTTTTCTGCTCTCCTGTGAAATTAGGGTAGTCACATGACTTGCTTTGACAAATGAAATGAGAGTGTGAGTGGCAGGCATCACTTCTGGTCAGAAGAATCAGGAAAAAGTGCTTGATGGCCGCAGAGGGTCCCTAGCAGGCTGAGTTGGAATTACAGAGAGGAGTTGAGGCGCAGACTAAAACTCATTGGATAGGTGATCAAGAAAAAAAAATGTTGCTGTGTGTTTTTCCTGAGACATTAGGTTTCTTTGTTACATCTTTTTCTACTTTTTTCATTTTTATATTATATTTTCTTGATTATGCTACTACAGTTGTCCTGATTTCTCTCCCTTTGCCCCCTTTTACCCAGCACACCCCACTCCCTCAGGCAATCTCCCCACCATTGTTCATGACCATGGGACACATGTATCAGTTCTAATCCATTTCCTATACTGTACTTTATATCCCTATGGCTATTCTGTAACTACTTATTTGTACCTCTTCATTACCTAACCTCTTCACCCATTCCCCCATGCCTCCGTCCCATCAGGCAACTGTCAAAAGGCTGTCTGTATCCACGATTCTGTCTCTGTTCTTGTTTGCTTAGTTTGTTTTTTAGATTCAGTTGTTGACAGACATGTATTTTTGCCATTGTATTATTCATAGTTTTGATCTTCTTTTTCTTAAATAAGTTCCTTTAACATTTCATATAATAAGGGCTTGGTGATGATGAACTCCTTAATTTTTGTTTATCTGGGAAGTGGTTTATCTGCCCTTCATTTCTAAATGATAGCTTTGCTGGGTAGAATGATCTTGGCTGTAGGCCCCCGCTTTTCATGGCTTTGAATATTTCTTGCCAATCACTTCTAGCCTGCAAAGTTTCTGGTGAGAAATCAGCTGACAGTCTCATGGAAACTCCCCTGTAGGTATCTAACTGCTTTTCTCTTGCTGCTTTTAAGAATCTCTCTTTATCTTCCACCTTAGGCATTTTAATTTGAATGTGTCTTGGAGTGGACCTTTTTGCATCCACCTTGTTTGGGACTCTCTGTGCTTCTTAGAATTGCATGTTTATTTTCTTTACCAAATTAGGGATGTTTTCTTTGACTATTTTTTCAAATAGATTTCCAATTTATTGTTCTTTCTTTTCTCCTTCTGGCACCCTATGATGTGAATGTTGGACCTCTTGAAGTTGTCCCAGAGGCTGCTATCTTCAATTTTTGGATTCTATTTTCTTCTTGTTGTTCTGATTGGTTGTTTTTTGCTTCCTTATAATCCAAATGATTGATTTGCTTCTCAGCTTCATTCACTCTACTGTTGTTTCCCTGTAAATTGTGCTTTATTTTGATTAGCATATCCTTCATTTCTGATTGGATTGTTTTTATGCTGTTAAAGTCCTTACTAAGTTCCTTGAGCATTCTTATAACAAGTGTTTCAAATTCTGCATCTGATAGATTGCTTATCTCCATTTCATTTAGCTCTTTTTCTGGAATTTTGGTCTATTCTTTTGTTTGGATGATGTTTCTTTGTCTCCTCATTTTGGCAGCCTCTCTGTGTTTGTTTCTATGTATTAGGTAGAACTGCTTTGATTCCATGTCTTGGTAGTGTGGCTTAATGTAGTAGGTGTCCCATAGGGTCCAATGGCACGGCCTCTGCTCTCCATGAAGGATAGGCTGTGCAGGGGCAGGATAGTGATACTCCAGTGTGGTCTATAGCTATCTAGTGGGTGTGCTAGCTCTGGGGTTTCCCCAGTGGTATAGGCCATGGTCAATCCCCACCCGTGTTTTGCCCAGGGCCATCCTGCCTGAGCTATAAAGCAATCTGAGATGGTTGCTACTTGTGCTGGGCTTGGAGATTGCCAGGCAAAGCCATAATATGAATCCAGGCTGGCTGCTACTAGTGCCAGGCCTGGGGTTCACTGAGGACAGCTGTGGCTTATTTGAGAGGATTTAGGAAATTGTGAAGCATAAACCAAGACCAGCCATTCATATGGAAAAG